TGTGTCATATATTTATAAATTTGAATGTCCATTTTTGTAATAGGCTTTGATAATTTTAATATGTATGATTGTTAATCTTTCCATGGTTGAAATTGCCAAAGACTTAAATTGTTAAACCTGAAAGAAAAAGATCATTAGATGCTTAAACTTAATTCACATTTAAAATCGGTCCAAGGTATTGGAACACCCTATATATTTGTGTTTGGTGACTTTAATGCACACCATGCTGGGTGGCTTAAACTTTCTGCCACTGACCTCTCTGATATCCAAACCTTGAACTTCTCAATCATTCAATCTCTCATGCAATTGGTGAACTTCCCAATGTGTTTCCCCAGTAACTAGAACAGACACACTTCTTTTCTAGATCTCATTTTTATCAATCCCTGACTCATATTGTACTATGCAGCTCTGCCATCTTGGAAACTGATCATGCAGTAATGTCTGTAAACCTCTCTTTCCACTCACCTAACAGACAAGAACCTCCTACCAACAGAATATCTTTCTGTTATCAATGAGCAGATTGGGACTCATTCTGTGATTTCCTTTATGATGTCCCTTGGAATGAAGTTTTTAATCATCCTGTTCAAAAATGCGTGTCTGAGGTCTCTAATTGCAACAGATGTCTTTTTGTCATTGCTCATAATTAGTACAAATGAGTCCTCAAAGAAGTGAAGTTACTGTTTGCTGATAGAATGAAACAATGTGTAGCATCTCGCAAGTTCAGTTCTAGAGATTATTAGCAGCTCTGCAAGAGTGTGCTGAACAACAGCAAAACCTTAATCCCTCCTCTATTTAAACAATTCGAGGTCCTGACATCTACAGCAAATAAGGTTGAATGCTTTGCTCAGAAATTCTCTTCCCACTCATTTGAAGTACCCACACCTTATTTCCCCATGAGAACAGAGGCTGCACTGAGTGATATGTGCATAACCCTATCACTGGTCTCAGACATCATTTCTAAATTAGACTTTCATAAGGCAGCTGTTGTCCAAAACAAATGTGCTCCAAAGCCAGCTCCAGTTCTCTCCAAACTCTACAACTATTGCTTATAGTGTTTCCTGATTTTCATCTTGTTGGAAGTCCTCCTCTGTAGTTTCAGTTTCTAAGAAATTTGGAGAACCTTATAAATCATCTATTGCCCTATTGGTCTCCTACTGCTTTTTTTGAGTATTGAGCTTTAATAAATGCTGAAGTGGGTAAGCATCTTACCTCTCATGACCTACTCTCTGACAAACAATATGACTTCCATTTTGCCAGGTCTACTGCTGATGTGCTAATGGCCATCACTGAATACATATATCAAGCTCTTGATAATAACAGTGAAGCTCAAGCTATGGTTCTAGATATCTCAAACACATTTTGTAGGGTTTGGCATGCTGGACTTCTATATAAGCTCCAGGGCTATGGTATTACAGGATGATTATTTGATTTAATCCAGTCATTTTTACCAAATCATGAAATGAAAGTTGTCTTGAATGGGTTTGCTTCTAGATCCTTTCACATGAACATGGGTAACCTTCAAGTCTTTATCCTGGTTCCTACACTGTTTCTGATCTTCATCAATGATCTTCCTGATGTTATTAGTTCCCAAGTAGGCATTTATGCAGATGAAACTACCATTTACTTCTGTCTCAATAGCAAATCTGTCAGAGTTACAAAATTAACCCGACCACTGCTCTTGAATAAGTGGTTAACTGGAGCAGGAAATGGCTTGTAAATTTTAATGCCTCCAAATGGAAACTGCTCTCATTTTACCACCATACAGAATCTTTCCTGCCCTCCATCAGTATGGCTGATGCTAGACTCCTGGGGAACAACCATTGTGCTTTCTTGGCCCCATGTTTTCAACTTACTTGAAGTGGAATTGACTACATTGAATCAATAGCTGCATCAACTGCAAGGAAAGTTGGATCACAGTGTCATGCCAAAAGGTTTTTCTCATCAGTGTCCATCTTGCACATTTAAAAATCTACCATTTGTCCATGCGTTGAATACTGTTGTTAAATCTCGTCTCATGCTCCTGCTATCCATCTTGAGGTTCTTGAAAAAAATCTAAAGAAGGATCTGCAATTTAATCAAACCTGACTTGGCATCTCAACTTTAGTCACCTTTTCACTGACAAACTTTTTTCCCTGGTACCCTAACTACATGAATTTAAGCGTGCTACAAGATTGGAATCTAGGTCCCACCCTTTTACTATTGAAATAGTTAAATGTAATTGCCATTTCTACTCCAATGGTTTCTTTTCTTGCACCTTTCGCCTGTAGAATCCCCTTCTTTTTACTTGCTTCCCTGATAACAATCTTCAAAAAATTAAATGCAACTTCAATCACCATCTTCTGTCTTCTTTAACCTCATTTATCTTTTATCCTTTCCTCAATTCCCCTGATACCCAGTTTTTTTGTCTCTCACTTTCACTCTCTTTAATGCCCTGTACACTAGTGGCATTCCCACCTTACTTGGAGTGAAATGATTTAAAAAAAAAAATTTACTTCCTCATGGATTCTTTCTCTCTCTCTTTCTATGAGCCAGGACTTTTACACTTGAATTCTTGAAACTTTAATTTTCACCTAGCATTCTGTATTATTATATTTTGTTATATAAAGATTTATTTTGTATCTATCAGCACTCACTTTTTAATCATTACACTGAAACCAAATATAACAATATATGATGGGAACAGACGTTGCCCTAAGATAATATCCACAAATCCTCCATTAGAGTATGCTGCTTTCAAAGGTTCAGTCTCAATGCCAAGAGATGCTTTATTATTCTTTAGTTTTTTTAATAGCCTGAAATGAAGAGTTAAGAAAACTATCTTCCCCTTTGCCGAAAAGATTCCAGCATTCACATTGGTGTTTACATCCAGGATAATCTTCCAGTGGCCGGCCATGTAATTGTCTCTCGAAGCTCCAGACAACTCTTTCATGTGCTTCCTTTTTTTAGTTACTAAATTTTGTTAGCTATCCCTTCTTCCTTTATTGCTCACCATTTTCCCAGGACTGCAGTATATTAGACATAATAGCTGTCAGTACAGAAAAGGCATTTTCTCTCCATCCATCTATCCATCCATCCATCAGCATCTTTGTCTTAGGTGACTTTAATAACATATGTTTATGCCATGACACATGGCATAAACATTCTAAAGGTACTGATGTTGCCAGTATCCAGACATTAAATTTTTCCATTTCCCAATCCCTCATTCAAATTGTGGACTTCCATACTCATTTCCCTAGAAAAACTGAGCAACAGTCTTCTCTGCTTGGTTTATTTTTTACCTCCTCCTTGCTCTTGCTGAGCTTTGCAACACTGCCCTCTTGGTAATTTGGGGTATCTATTGACATTTCATTCTAATCATCTATTAAACAGGAACACCCTATTCATAAGACCTCTTTCTGTTACCAGCATGCTAATTGGGGCTCATTCTGTGATTTTCTTTGCGATATCCGTTGGACTGATATTTTTAATCTTCCAATTGAGAATTGCACTATTGAGGTTTCTTCTTGGATCAAAGCTGTCATGGATGCTTTCATCCCTTCTCTAAAATACTAGGTGAAACCTCAATCCTCTCCATTTTAAACACCGGCATGTTTGGCTGCTAGGGCACATAGGAACCACTATTTTCAGCTATATCAGTGTGAAAGCTCCCATCACAACAGACACCTATTTGTTGCTGCTTGTAATAAATGTAAATGAGTCCATGAAGGAGCTAAGTCCCTGTTTGCCAAGAGAGTTGGGCACCATTACTGGTGATTCTGTAATAGGGTATTAAATAAATGTAAGGGCTCTATTCCTTCCCTTTCCATCAATTTGAGGTGATAAAGCTGAATGGTTTGGCTGTAAATTCTCTTTAAACTCTTCTCTTGATTCATTGTGATATCTCTGCCTAACTTCCCATTTATAACTGAGTCTCTATGATATGCATATAAACCCTTTCATGTTTTCTACTATCATCTGTAACCTAGATCCCCACAAAGCACATAGACCTAATGGTATCCCTGTAATAGTCATTAAGAAGTGTGCTCCTGAACTGGCTCCTATTCTCTCTAAGCTGTATAATAAATGCTTCCCTGCTTCTTGCTAACCTGCCTTCCGGAAGTCATCATCTGTTGTTTCAGTTTTTAAGAATCTGGTTAACCATTCGACCTTTCCAACTTTCAGCCTATTAGCTTTCTACCTCTTTTTGGGAAACTCCTAGAAGTCTTATTCTGTTTTTAATTTTCATTAATGACCTTCATGATGACATCAGGTCTTAACTTGGTGTCTACATTGATGACAAAACCAGGCAAAAAAGGCTGATCAGTCCGACAAGGTCAAATAAGATCCAAAGAAGAATCAGCAATATTATTGGTCCTAATCTGGCAGCTCGGTTTCAGTCACTTTCCCATCATCATAAAGTTGTCTCTCTGTGCCTTTTCTATAAATACTTTCATGGTAATTGTTCAGTTGAACTCTTCACTATAGTACCTAGATTTTTTTAATTTAAGTACTGTACTAGACTGGCATCTAGATCTTATCAAAATACAGTTAAACTGGTTAGATGTAGCCGTAAGTTCTAACAGTTTGTTTTCTTGCACTTCTTGCTTTTAATCTGCAAAAATTTAAATGTCAATCGCTATCTCTTATCCTCCTGATTACTCTTTCATTTTTCTGCTCATTATTAATATTTCTGTTCGTAATTCTTCCATATTCTTTAACCCCTTGTGTCTTAGTGGTCTTACTGCCTTGCATGGGATAATACAGATTTAAAAAAAACAAAAACATGCTTATCACTAGGTTCATTGCTGTTTATGTTTGAAAACAGACTTTGTAATGTTTGGATATATACTAGTATATATTCTGTTTCCTATATATCTTTGAATTAGTGTGATCAGGGTTGAAATTTGATTTGAAATGTTTTCTGAGACCAAGACCTTTCCCTCCATTTTGGTTTTGATTGTATGATAGTATTATGATTTTTGCTTTTCTTCACATTATGTACTGAGTACATAATCTGGTTTATGGCCACATCACATTAAAACAATGGTTCCCATACAATCACTGAAGTTAAGCAGTGTCACACTTGGTCAGAACCTACATGGGTGACCACTTGGGAATACCAGGTGCTGTAAGCGTGGATATCCTGGTGATGTAATGGATAATGGAATTGTTAATTGGAGAGCCGAGTTTCAATTCCTGCCAGGTTTGAATATTCACTTACACACAAATACCCTTTGGAAGAATGTGAATCCACTTCTTCTCACCCCAGCTACGGGGTAATTAGTAAGACTAAACCATTATTACAGTTGATAAGCCATGGAAAGCAAATCTGTCAAAGATATTGGTTTCTCAGAGCATTAATTAATTTTTTTTTTATTTTCTTTGTTAATTGTTTAGTGTTCTTTTCATTTTCTTCTCTATCTTTTTTATATTAGTTTTTTCAACTAAGGCCTGTCATCCCACAGGTGGAACTTTTTCAGTGTAGATGTTAGTAATGGCCCCAAATACTTTAGCTATAGTAGATACAAATATATTATTTGATTCCCTGAAGCTGTTTTAGTCATGATTTGCAAATGCAGATTTAAAACTAACAAACATGAAAATATTATTGAAAGGATTCCTTTCAGAATTTCACATAATATTCTGGATATTATTTAAAGAAATGTCAATTTACACTTGTACAGTGGCATAGACAAGGATGAAGAATGCATTGACTATAATGGTAAATATACAATGTGAAAATAGATGTTTTCCAAACTGTCTTATATATTTATGAATACATTGAATTTTCATCCCAAATTTACTCACTATTATATATAGTAAAACATTTCTGTAAGAAATAAATATATCCGACTTACACACCAGTATATTGTCAAAGATTTAATCTAAAAAACAGAATTTTAGATGTGTCATATTAAAAAATTGTATGAGAATTATAAAACCACATGAATATATTTAAAAAACCATTTGCTAAAAGAACACAATAACATATTATTTGTTCTGAAATCATTGAGAATTAAGCATAGAGAATTTGAGATAAATATGAACTTGAAACTTCTTTAAAATGACTGAGATACCATCAGAGAATATTGTTACATTTTATTTCTCAGGCTCCATAATACAATGTTTTTGCCTGAAACTATTTTATTTTTTTTACTTTTTTCATCTTTTATCAAGAAATATTTTTATTACTTTCTTCACCTTTTCATTGTTTTTTATCGAAACATTTTTAGTCAGTCTCTATTTTGGCCATCATTCAATTCACATCTGAAGCTCCTACTCTGAATTCCCACAATTTAACAACTAAAATTGTGTTGAAAAAATATAAAACTCAGAATTTGAAAACTTAGCTTCATCTTTATTGTTTAATTTTTTACATCATTGTCTGAGATTCTAAGCTGGGTTTTGTTAATATTTATGGTTTTACTTTTATTCAGAATTTTTCAGCTAGTCTATTGTCCGGCCATTTTCAGGTGATGTTTTATATGGTGCACAGTGAATTATTGTTTTTTTCTGTTTTTAACCACCTCTCTTTCTTTGGGCGAAGTTCTATTGTTCCAGTTCTTCCTTATGTTCCATTCCAGGGCTTATGAACACATCATGTTGAAACAATGGTTCTCATATGATCAACAAAGTTAAGCAATGTCAAGCCCGGTCAGTACCTAAATGGGTGGCCTCTTGGGAATACCAAATGCTGTAAGCTTGGATGCACAGATGGTGTAATGGACAAGGGCTTGGAATTGTTAATTGGAGAGCCAAGCTCCAATTGTTATTGCCTTTGTTATATTCACTTATTCACAAATAATCTTGAGAAAGTATGTCACCACCTCTTCAACACCCAATTATGGATTAATTAGTAAGATTTGTATCCCTAATCCATTATTATCTAAAAACAAAGGAATTTCTTACAATATAAAAAAATTTTCTGGTTTTAAATAACCTGCAAAAAGTTGATAAGATGTAGAAAATGAATGAATCAATCAAAAAACTTATGTTCAAGAAACTAGAATTGACAAGAAATTGAAAACCATGAGACTAATGAACACAGAAAGTGTTGTATCTTTTGTTTTCAAGATAAAAGAGAGAAATAAATAAGGAAGACAAGTTTACTACAAGGTACACTTACCAAATACCTAATTCTGCTTAACTTTGCTTATTTACATAAATGGATGATTCTATTCATTTATGTCCTATATGACAGAAAATACCAAAAAAACTTTCTTGATCTTGACCACAGATAAGATTATCAACTGAAATGATGAAAAGAAAAATGAGAATAATAAAAAGAAGAATTACTACTGAAAAGAAATGATCCTATAATTTTAGAATAAGTCATTGTTATCCAAAGGTAAATTAGAAAATATGGTATTTAATATCGGGGGAGAAAATGGATTACACTACCTATTCTGGGATAAGGTTCAATTAATTAATAAATAAATAATAAATAAATCATATTGCTGGAGAATGAGAAAAGTGAAAGAATCTGTGTGAACAAATGGAAACATTTTAGAAGTCTCGCTAATGTGAAGATTTTTTTGAGGGGTGCTTAGCAAAGAAAGCATTTATAGAATCACCTGTCTCACATGGGATATTGTGAAGATTGGCCTAATGGGTGAGTCCATCTTGCATTTTACAGTTTGCAGTGAAAAAAAAGAAAATAGGAAGGCTGAAGAAGGGTTCAGCCAAAATGTGGAAATAACAATAAATGAGAATTCTTGGAATTGAAAATAAATCTGTCTTGAAAATAAATCTTTCAAAAATTCCTGAAAACACTACCATTAAAAGAAAACTTGAATTCCTTTTCACAACTAAAATATTGAACTTAGTCTCATAAAAGTTCCTGAAATCAATCTTACATTCCAGTTTTTAAAAATCCTGAACTCAACCTCAAAATCCTATTTTATAAATTTCTAAACTCACATTCTGATTAAAAATCATGAATTTTATGAACCCATAAAAAAACCTGAACTCAAATTCACAATCCATTAAAAAATACCAAACTTTGTAGAGTGAGTGACCATTGTTAAATGTAAAATAAATTACAGATGTATCCAAAAAAAAGAGAATTGACAAAGTTTGCAATAAGCAATAACAAGGAAAAGAAAAGGAAATTGCAAAAAAATATATAATGGAAGTAAACAATATATGCAAAGCAAATTAACAGTAATAAGGCAATGCAACAGTAATATGGCAAAAAAGTTCACAAACTAAGAATTGCAGTTGACACATAAGAGTAAGTTTGGATAAACAAATATAGCAGTCTGACTTCAAGACAGACCAGGACTGAGTCATATAAAGCCAAGAACCAACCTATTTTATTGGCTAGGAAGAAATCCCAGCATGCTTCTGCTTATAAATTGTGGAGGGGAAAGTGTTTTGCAGTCATTTACAGTCTAATTGGAACCAATACAATCTGATATTAAAGTTCCTATATAATCTTTAGTTGCATTTACATTCAAAATAGGATCTGCTATATTTAAATAGATGAGCATATGTATGTGCTATAATGATATATGCTATATAGAATGTTTTCATATGAAATGAATGATTAGTCCTCATTGGTTTTCAGACACACAATATTTCTTTAGTTATAGAATCAATATATTTGAGTTGTAAACATCTGATTAAAACATTCCTGATCTATGCTTCTTTAAATCATTTATGCTTTTCATTCTGCACAGATATTTGATATTAATTCTTATGAGTAGTAAAGTAATTTTCATGCTTTCACAGATAAAATTAATTCCAGTAAAAGGAAGCATAGGATTTAATTCTCAATATCACTTGCTTAGTCACTCACCATTATAATGTGCAAGGAAACACAACTTTTTCTAATAGGATGGCTACATTCACTATTTATAATTCAAAAAATGTTTCCTGAATACATTTTGACCATTTGCTTTTGATGCACTCTTAAGGAAAGCCATTTCCTCTAAAACTGATCGTGAGGAATACATAATTAGTTGAAAATGAAATCTATGGAGTAAAAATATGAAAAGTGTTGAAAAATTCAAGTAAAAATAATAGTTGCAAATGAGAAGAAAGCAAGAAGCAACCAAAAAGCTGATGATAAATAAATGCATTTTTTAATGAGGTTCTATAACTAGAAAATATGATAGATTTCTTCACTTGTTCCTGGAATTAAATATAACTGTAAAGAAAAAGTTATATCTTGTATATTTCAACATGCACTAAATCAACTAAAAAGTTGATACACACTTAGTGATACATGTATGCATCTAAATACTCAGCAAATGCATAGTTTCTAAAAAATATTTCCCTGTAATATATTAACAAACAAATGTACACATGTAACATGAACTAAATTATTTATTCACTAGCATATATAGGAAACTAAAATAAAGATAATAATTTTTTATGTATTTACTTATAGAAAGCACAGTTCCTAATGATGTAATTTACTTTTCTCTTCAAAGTAGAACTTTTTGTATATAAATCATTTCAAAATAGATCGAGAGCCCCTGACAATTATAAGACTATTTTATTCCTTTATATTATAAAGAAAATTAAAAGAAAGACATAATTTTTAAAGATATATTGTACCTAAAGTTGGTAGACCTACTATGTTTTTAAAATTCATTTGCATTTTTTCACACCTCCAGAACAATTTCAGTACAAACTTCTCTTTATTAAAAGTAATTGTCACCTAATTTTAAGTTACAAACTTCACTTGAAAATTTACAAAATTATAGTCTACTAAAGTATTTTTACATAACTGTTTATAAAAGGTCTTTTTATTTAAATTATTTAGAATACATAAAAGAATTTTAAAACATTATTTAGTGCACCATCAAATATCAAAATAAGTAGTTTTTTTATGTTGGTTTCTGTCTGCATGGGAATGACTGCTAAAAATATCTCCTCCACATATTTATAGACAAATGTTGAGATTTCTTCCTAGCCAATAAAACTATACTACTTCTTGGTCTCATCCACCATGTTTATTATTTCTGGTCTTGAAATCAGAATGCTACATTCACTTGACTGCATCCCTTTTGCATGTTAATACCATTCTTACTTTATGAAACTTTTGTATTATTACTGTTGCTTTGCCTAGTTTTGCCTTGCATATATATATATATATATATATATATATATGTATATTGTTTCCT